ACCCTGCCAACCCGTCTAGCTGTACGGTTAAGAACGGGATATTGTATGAGGTTTGACCCTGTAGCAAGATTGTATGGTAAAACATGGACCATACTAGAAGGCTAGGTAGCCCTCAGAGAACACGAGGTTGTTATAAGGTTAGGTAGAGTGATGCACCACTCCACCCTAAATAAAAGGCATCCGATCATGCAGGCAGAGAGTGAGTAGTATAGTAGTATATAAACAAGGCATAAATACCAAGCACGATAAAAGGAGCAGAAAACAACCGATACAGAAAACAGAAGAAGGGATTACATAACATGGAGAAGTCCATAGACCAGCAACGCAGGATGAAGTCCTTCCCTAGACTAGTCCATGGCAACAACAACTTATTGAGCCTGGCAATTGAAATACATCATATTTTCGTCCGAACCATCCTTGGTTGCCCCAATGCCTTCTCCTTGACGGAAAAATGAAGAGAACCACACACCCCTACTGAAAGTAAACTTTATGCAAATGGAGAATTGCAATAATTTTGCTGAAGGGAGACAGAATGCCTACCTACAGGCGGAGAGATTGACAAATTGTAACATGCTACACGTGCCTCTCCGACCAAGCCAATCTGTACATGGTACTATTCACTCTTCTCTAAGTTCTCACGCTCACCCCCTTTTCACCACTTCTCCCCGTTTACTATAACAGTAAACAGTAACTCCCTTCCAAAGAGCAGCGAGAGTAAAAAAAAAGATTTTAAAACTCCCGACGACTAACCAAACTTCTTCTCAAACTTCCTCAGCATGCCCGTGACGCCCCTCTCCAGCCTCTCGGCGCTCTGGCCCAGCTTGCTCGGCTTCTCGTCCCCGCCTTCTGGCTTGGGCTTCTGCTGCTTATTATGGTGGTGGCCGCCGCCGACGGCGTACTCCTGGCTCGTGGGGCGGTAGACCTGCTGATGGACGCTGTAGTCTACCCCTGCTGCTTGCGGTCCGGGAGGGACGGGGGCGGGCGCAGGCGAGCCGTACGAGTATTGCGAGTACCCGCCCGGCGGACCGGGCGGTGGTGGTAGGCCCGGTGTCTGTGGTTGCTGAGGCTGTCCGTGCGACGGAGGCGGGGTCGGCGTCGCGTGGATCTGCTGCTGCGGCGGCGTGGGCTGGTAAGGAGTCCCGGCAGTAGTAGTAGTAGTAGTAGGCGGAGGCGCGAAGCTAGGCGAGCCGGGGTAGTTCGCCCCTCCGTAGTAAGCGCCCGACAAGCCCGGCGAGCCCAGGACGGGCATCGTGACGGCGCGCTGCAGGTGTGCGTACTGGGACGGAGGAAACCCGGGGCTGGTCACCGGCGGAGGCAGGCCGGGACTCATGGGCCCGCCGCCACCTATCCCAGCAGCTCCCGGCGGGGCGAACGTGGTCTGCCCGTATCCGGGAGAGAAGGGTGCGGCTTGGTCGCGGGCCAGGGCGGCGGCTAAGGGGTCGTGCCCGTCGTCCTCTGGCGGTGGGGTCTTCTCCCTGTGCTGGTACCTCTCCCTTTCGGGTGGCGCTGCCGGATTATAGGCCATGGGCGCGAAGCTTTGCGGAGACTGCGCAGGCTGCGGTTGGCCCCCTAGGCCGCCGCCGCCACTTATCGGGGGCGGTGGGGGCGGAGGTGCGAAACTCGGGATCCCGCCGCTCTGCTGCTGCTGTTGGTGGTGTGGCTGAGAAGAGACCGACCCCGATATAGCGGCGGACTCCAGCCTCTGCACCAAAGGATTGACCATGTCCTGCGAGTCGCTATACCCGTGCTGCTGGCCGTGTGATTGCGGAGAAGCAGCAGGAGCCGCAGGCTCATCGGCCACTTCCACCTGGGCGGCTGGCAGGACCCTCCGGATTCCGTTGACGAACTGCAGCGCGTCGTCCCGCGTCCAGAAGTAGATGTCGAGCGAGTGCAGCCGGTAGTGGTATATGTTCTCGTTGCGCGGGTCGTACGTCGGGAGGTGCCATTGGCTCGGGTCCGGCGGCGATCCCCCGGGGATGCCGTCGACGATGATGTTGACGAGGCATTGCTGCTTGTACGAGTAGCGTACTCTCGTCCTATCTAAAACTGTAAAAAATTTTTTTGGGTTATTTCAACTTGATTTTGTCTAAAGCATCACTTGCTCTCTTCTCTCCCCCCTCTCTCTAATATTTGAATCTGCATATTTTACCCAAAGGAGACGGGCGCTTACATCCATCGAACGCGTCTTGATCTTCCGTGCCCGGCTGGTTTGCGATCTCGATGCGCGCCCGCCTGTCGTTCGCGTTCTCGAAGAGGTAGACGTAGGAGCCCTTGTCGAAGCGGTGATGGAGTGGTTTCTCTGTGGGCGATCCATAAAAGTAATGAACGTCGCCGAACCTGCACAAATCAAATGACGGACATACGAATAAGCCACGCTGTCTCTCTCGTCTTTTATTCTGATGCCCAGCCTTCAGGGAGGTTGTCCCGGGGACAAACGAAAATAGTCGGGAGGTCGGCACTCACAGCGTAGCAACGTTCTCCTCACCCGGTCGGACCGCCATCTCTTTCGTGGCTGTACTTAGGTGTTGCGTGTCGCTACAGTAACGGACGAAATGATTCAAAATGTTCAAGAATTAAACTCTACAGTGCCTCCTCTCTCTCGCTCTTACCACGACATGAACACACTGGTATACGCGGACGGGGAGAGAAAGCTGAGGGAAAGAAAACGGTGAGAGAGTCGACCAAGAGCTCCTGACATAAACCCCAAAACTATAACCTAGCTCCAAGTGTCACGTCCAATAATCATACCGATAGGTTGGCACACCTACATGTAAGTACACTTGATGCAGGTTCCCCATCTTCGATTTTGTCCTGTCGGCGCTTAATCGTCCAATATCCCACGCCGTAAGCCTACTGTGGTGGGGTTGAGGATGCTTTAGGCGAGAGGGGTTCTGCCAAGGGGGACGTACCGCGTTCTTGGAAGGCCGATGCCGAGATAGGGTACTCATGTTGCACATGATGTGGTATATCCAACAGCACATCTGCAACCATTGACCAAGTTTAGTAGCTCTACAGAACACAGCCCGTCGATCATTGCGTTCCTTCCGTACGACAAGAAGAACCAAACAGCCACGAGAACGGTGATATACATGTTCAAGTTGCAGTGTAAGACTGGATGAAAGCTTGCCAGGTTTCTGTTCTTCTTGTGGAATGCCACAAATGACTGGCTGTTGCACTAAACGTTACATGCTGTTTCCTTATATGAAATGGTATAATGCGATTGTGAGCCAACCCCGATGTCTATCGTACAATATGTTCTACCCTTTGAATATTACCCTTGGAATGATTTGGGGTGGTAAAGTCGGGAGGGTCGCTCGAATATATTATATATCCACGCATGCATTTGTACAATATCCTTTACACTAGATGTCGAATGCCAATTTTCGAAAAGGGCGCCTCGACGATTCGCCCATGCCTTCTCTCCTGTTGTGTTCGACTCAGAGGCGTTCCTTGCATACACCAATGCTTCGTTTGGTCCTCAGTGGCCTAACACTCCGTCATCCTCATCCCCTTTGTGGATGCCAGGGCTTGTTGATGTCTCCATATCTTCGTTTCCTTTTCGCTTCCTCTGACTCTCCTGCTCTTTCATCATCTTCCGAGAGGTATCAGCTGATGTTTCTCGAACCCTTTCGGCTAAAAACTCCCGCCAATATTGGTTCTCCCCTCCCCGGATTTCAACCCCCAACGTCACGATTCCACGCCGCATATGATTCTAAATCACGGCCCGGCCCGACACAGAAGAGTACCGCCGACCCTCCGCTCGACAGCCTCACGTATCTCGAGTGTCCCCCGATCGGTGCTAACGAACATGCACTCGCCGATGTTCAGGCCCTTCTGATAGCTCGCGTCGAAGCCGCGGCAGAGGCGCTCGAGGGACTTCAGGTCGGCGCAGATGCGTCGAGAAGGAGTCGAGATGGGCTGCACGCGTCGCAGCACGGGCTTGTTGTTCACGTACTTGAGCCCCACCCAGATGCGCTGGCGGGCCGCGTTCGCCGTCGTCAGGGGCTCCGGCTCAAACGTAGCTACCGTCGCCGGATCCGGGGGGTGCGGGCCTCCTCGCGTCACGAAAGACAAGAAGCCGGCCCGGTGGAGGGCGAGCGCCACTGAAAGGTTGTACTTGTTGTGCGGGATAGACGTCAGGCCCAGGCTCGCCTTCGAAGCGTTCGACAGGTGCGCGGCCATATTGCATATGCTGTGGATACCCATTTTGACTGCGGTATGCCGAGTTTTCCGTACCAGGGAGCGCGATATAGGGGGGGGGGGGGCGAGGAGATAAAGGATAGTTTCGGCTGCTAGTATGTGCCCTATAGGGCCCGTGATGCCGATATTTCCTAGCTGGATCGATCGGTTTCGAGGATACCGTGGTATTTCTTCTGTGCCTAGAACGAAGCTTCCGTCGTGGGGTTTGTAGTTGGAGCGCGATGCCGTTGATCCCCCCTGCGAGAAAAGAACGGAACTGGTTAAGACTACGAGCTTCTGTGGTTGGCTCTCCCGACGGGCAATCTTCCTGTGATGCGACTTGGGACTTGGACTGGCTCTCACTGGAAAATTGGACGGAAGGGAAGAATTACAGCGCCGGCGACAACAGGAATGCTGAAAGATCCACCTCTGCAGAACAGGGAGATGGTTTGATTGGTCAATGTGACAGGGGAGACATCTCAAGCGACACATGTTTGTGTCTTACGTGGGGTACTGTACATTTACACTGTACGTGATCCTACCACCAAACTTTGTAGTCTAGGTATGTACTGAAGTGTAAGCCGGCATTTGGTATTCAAGACTGGCCTTACACCAAATTAAACGATGATTATAATAGAAGCCGACTTCGACTGCATTGTGTCTTATTCTATGTGGAAAAGCACCCATGGTCCTACACAGTCCGGGTACTTATCGGGTGCCCATCCGAGTTAACCAAACTTGCAAACTTGGCAACGCTCTGAATGAATCGTACCAATGCCAGAATAGAAGCCCGGCGTCCAACAACCAAAGCAAAAATACCTGCCCGGTTAGCTCAATCGGTAGAGCGTGAGACTCTTAATCTCAAGGTTGCGGGTAAGTTCACGTCAGATTATATGTCTAAATCTTAGATGCAAAATATTAACAAATAATAAATAGGTTCGACCCCCGCATCGGGCTCAATTCCTGATGCTTCCTAGTCCACTAGGAATAGCAACCCATCTTTTTTCTCTTTTTCTTTCGTCTTTTACCCCAGTGTCTCTTCCCTAACCAGGTAGTTGTCAAGAGCAGCATGTCCCAAGGATGGGGGAAGCAGAACGCTTCTGTATGTTTTTGCTCTGGGGAGCAGTCGTTTATGTGGAAGATACAATAAACATCGTCAGCTTATTCCGTTCCTTTCCCTTCCCCGCCTACACTAGGTCTTGGGATCAGAAGTATAATGATATCCATTTCGCTATTTCTCTACTCTCTAAACGCCTGCCCCTACGCCGATCCCGCGGATGTGCCTTCAGTTGAAAGGGTAATTATTTCTTGCAAATATCTCGAATAAGGAGTACTCCTACAGCAATAACAGACACCCAGGACAAAATGGTAAAAAGGCTGGAATCCCCCCTTACCTGCCCGTCTCGCAAGAATTTTGCCACAATGGGATCGTTGCCAATACAAGGTCGAAAGTAGAAAAGCGGCCGTAGTGGTGCGGCCGGGCGAGCGAGGCAACGGTGTGGCAATCCCTGCGCTCGAGAAGCGAACGGGCAAGAAAAGCGTTGGGTATCAAAAAATCAAACTTCTCGTCTTAGGGAGGAGAAGACCTATTTATTCTGCGATGGCTTGGTCGCAACGGTAGGCATTGTTTGGTTGCGACTCTTCTGGCGACTTCGACAGTGGAGCAGCATACCTCGCAACTAGGGAGTCTCGGCTACCACATCGCCGTTGTTGGCTTCCGCCGCAGTGTTTTCTACCTTGGGGTCATCGGCGTCCTGAGGCCCCATTCCTCGAATCTCCTCAGCGACCGGCTGCTGTGACTCCCCAGTCGACTCTGTAGCCTCGGACAGGGTGAGTTCTTTCGCGGCACGAATCACGTCCTCGATGTCTTCTACTTTGGTGGGATCCTCGGTAACCACTGGGACGCTGGAAACGGCATTCGGCTCTTCACTCTCATTAGAATCAGCCGCGTCAACTCCTGTAGTTACGGCTGTGTCATCGGCCAATTCGGTTTCAACTTCTTGAGCGACAGGTCCGGCACCGGCCTTCCCATCCTCGTCACTCTTCTTGGAAGCAACGGGCAATTCTTCCTCATCCTTGGCAACAGCATCAGGCCTTTCCTCTTCTACAACCTCTCCAGCCATGTCCAGTGACGTGTCTTCGGCAACGGTTTCCGCCTTCAGCTCTTCACTAGGTTCAGCATCGGCTTTCGGCGTCTCTACCTGGGTCGCATGATTTTCTCCCGGGACAGCGGCAGCGGCAGGCTTCTCCTGTCCAATAAGAACAGATCTCGAGGTGTCGACCGACATTTTCGCTTGCTCGATGGCTTCCTTAGCAGTTGCTATTTGCGCAACTGCCGACGCAATCTCTTTGGTGGTAGGTGCGTCTTTCAGCAAGTCAGCTTCTGGCTTTGGCGCTCCAGAGAGAACAGGCTGAGCAGTTCCGGTAGGCGGCTTGGCTTCCTTGGTAGATTCTTCGGCAGTCCCAGTTTTAGCGAGCGCAGGCGTATTTTCCTTCGCGGGAAGCTTCGCCTTGGTTGCTGCTGGCTTGGTCGATTCTTTTGTCGTCTTGGGTTTGATTGATGAGGCCTGGATTTTGGCCGCGACCTTCTTGCCGCTTGGTTCAGCTCTCGTGGGTTCATGCTTCTTCACGGGGGCAGCTTGCTTCCGAGGTGGAGTCACAGCGGCTTTATCAGCGGCCTTGTGGGAACTACTTGCCGTTGGCCTCATCATACGTGCAAGGAAACTCTCATCGACATGGCTCTCCTTCTTTGGAGCAGGGGGTTCGCGAGAGGCCTGCCTGGGCGGGGGTCCAAGGCTGGGACGTGGCCGGCTGACATGGGCACTGGATGCCCTATGCTTGAGGGTCTTCGCGGCAGCAGCGCCTGTCGAAACACTATTCCGGCTGGGCGGTCTGTGAGAAGTCGAGCTTGTAGACGGATGCTGAACGTTACCGGAGGCCCGTGACAATGACTGCCGAGAAGTAGACGATGCACCCCCATTGCTGAATTTCTGGGCGGAGGCAGCTGTATGTGTGGTGAGGGAGGCAGGTAGCTTGACCGGTCGGGTAGGCGACTTGGGCTTGGGCTTAACAAACCCTGTGCCGGATGCGGGAAGGTCGACCGGAGCCGGCCTGGCCGCTGGCGTCCTCGAAGTGGTAGGCTTCTTAGCATCTGTCGCGCTGCCTGCGGTCTTTACGGCCGGCTTAATTGCCTTGACGGGCTCTTTGGCAGCGGGGACAGTCTTCGTTAACGCTGCCGGCTTCGATACGGGTTTCGCGACCGTCTTCGACGTGGTGGCTGTTGGCTTTGACGCTGGCTTACCGGCTTTGCTGTTCGATGTTCTGGCTGAGGAAGCAGCAGCAGCAGGCGCTCCGCCTAGGGCGTCACCAATCCCCTCATTGAGGACGGTGCCGCCTAAGCGGGTTGCCGAAGCGTCGGTCGGGGCACCAGGGAGCATTTTAGTCTTGGGTTCTTCCTCGTCCATAACCTTGTCGGGGTTGGCATTAGGCTCCAGGGGTGCATGCTTCTCTCCTTTCTTGGGAACATCACGGCTTGGAGACTCGGGTATAGCTTCGTGGGATAGATTCGACTTGAAGCTAGCTGCGGTTTTAGACATGTTGTCGGCGAAAATGTCGGTCCGTTCGGAAACAGGTTGGGGCGTGGTCGCGTCGGTATCGTTGCTGTGTCTTCTACTAGATACGGAGACCGAGTCTCGGCTTGTTTCCCTTTTAAGTCCTATTCTACCGTCCTTCTCGACCGCAACGAAGGAAGTTCGGACTTTGGATAGCGGTCGCGGAGAAGCTGAAGGAGAAGGCGTGCCTGATGATGTAAGAGTCTGCGGTTAGCAGGTATGCTGGGATCCAAAATAATCGATAACTTTTCCCTAGTGCTGCCCCTGAGTGACGTATGCAGTCGGAAATAGGACAAACAAGCCTGGAGGTCCAAATTGGCCAAACAAGAAGTTCAAGGGGAAGATCCAAGTAAGGCAGTGTGGACCTCCGATTGTGCTTGCTATACGAAATACAAGGCAAGAGGTGGAAGGCGGTGGATTGTGAGGGAAGGAGAAAATGGCAGGGTCGGCAACGAGGAGAAGTAGGGGACCCATCAGAAAAGACTCAAGAGCCAGGCGCATTTGCTTTTTGTCAAGGAAAGAATAACAATATCATAACCTAGAACACTTACCAAAGCCACCCGGACCAGGCGATCTTCCTCGATCTGGCAGGTTGTCGCCCTTCTGCTCGAACATGGCGCGAAGGTTTTTGACGCCCGACATGATGGCCACAGGACTCAAGAGTGCTGTAAGTAAATAGTAGCGAGCGTGTTCGACAGCCGGCAATGCACGGTAAAATTATGGGTTATTAGAGCTCGGCTAGTGTTGCTACAGATCAGAGCAAAAGCTGCTCGTCGACCTGAAGCGATTCACCACTTGTTTTGCGAATAGCGTCCGAATAAGAAAATACTAGAGATGTTGGAGGGAGGTTCGACTCGTTAGGACTAAGACGGAACAATTCGATTTGTTTTCAAATCGTTCTCCCGTCGCGTGAGCGTTGGGACGACCGGGGCAACAGTCAGTTGGCGGGCGGGTGAGTGCGCTGGGCTCGAAAATAACCGCCTAATAAATGAAAGCTTGTCTAGCTTGTCCAGGGGTAGCAAATACAGTATGCAGTGGGAGGAGTGACGACCAGAGCAGGAACAACGTGAACTGTTACCAACGCAGTCCGAACTCTGAGTGGAAGGGGGTGGTTTGAGATGAACGACTATTTGAGGGCCATAGGTAAATTAAAAGATGCCAAAGATCATACAACAACAACGACATGAAGACAGCTGGTCCAATCATGCCGTGTACAGCAGGTGCCAGAGATCCTCGGAATGGTGGGATGTATACAGCATACAGCAGTACAGTAACCTAGTGCGTTCTGTAAGCTCCTGAAGTGGGCTAGTCGTTGTTGGAGACTCTACAAAGTAGTCTAGAGAGAGGGTCCTTCTCGATAAAATTAGATGAAATTAGGGGATAATTTTCGCTGCATGGTCCTGGGCGATCGTACGGGTGAGACTCGTGTGAGAGAAGCGCCTGCACCACACCCACAATGGCCTGTTTTGAGTGAGTGGTCTTCGTGGCTTCATCCATCCCTTTCCCAATTCATGTCTTCCTGTGCCTGCCACATCATTGCTCGGACTCGAACCCGCATTGTTGGTGGAAGCCGAGGATTTTGGCCCGAAGGCCAGCATCAACTGCCTATTCAGCACATCCCTCCCATGAGCAAACAGTTCTAATTGGTGTTTGGTATTTATCTGAAACGTTGTGGTTTGTAAGGAAAGAGGGGCCTGTTGCCGTACTGTTTTATAATTACCTTACTGTCTGGTACCGCAATAATCGTTCGCTTCACCTAAAACGATTCTAAGCAATAGGTAGTACAGCAGTACCAGTACAGCGGGAGTGATTTGTGAGAGAGTTACATGGATGCGGCTTCCATTTGGTCTCTCAGATCTCGTCTGGACAGTCACAACTCCCATACAGGATCGGAGAAGGAAAGTTTGGTCTGATAGCCGCGCTTGCACTGCCTCAAATACCTACCTACCTGAGTAAGCAGTGAGCCATACCTGTTCTGGCGTTCACTACGGTTGACCATTCTGTTGACTGATGCCAACAGTGCCACCATTTCTTTCCCGCTGATGCGGGTCTACGTCCTGAAAAGATGATCTTGATGTAACCTCCCTGGCGGAACAAAAATAGGGCGTGTCTCGGGAATCGTAAAAGACTTTCTGGTTACCACTTCCAGTTGTGCTGCGACGGCCAGTGAATCCGTAGAATGTATCGAAGTGTTACCAGTGCTTCCGATCCCCTGCTTCGACACTACCCAGTCATGTCGAACTTAAAACTGGCTGCTAGGTTGATATGGAAAGCTGTGCAGTGTTGATGCGATAATCCAGCACTTGCATTATGTGACGGGTAGGTATTAAAAACAAACCCCTTGCA